AGGAATTCAGCTATTTATTTTTTCTTTCCTGCAACCCGTGTAGGAAAGAAAATCGCACAATCTATGGTCTGCTTTAGATACGTCCTGCTTTTGATTCTACATGTGCTGATTACTTTAGCACAATGTGGCATGCAGAAACTGCTGCACACTGTTTTCAACTCCAATAAAAGGTAAATGAAAGACAGGCTTCAGCTGAGATCCTAGCCCATCAGCCACACCCCTCTGGCATGTTTTTCCTACATTGGGCTTAATTGTAGAGGAGTGTCACTGATCTGTTATGAGATTACTCTACTTTAGTACGCTATAAACCAACAGTAAGTGTGACCCTTCTGAATGAAGCCGATTTTACTTGTATTTTATAGAAATGGGTTTTTTGTTTTTATTATGAAACATTGTTTTAACTGCTTCCTACCCACCCGCAATGTATTGCGACCGGGTGCCAGCTACAGGCAAAGTGACGTAGACTGGGTGCTACGTGCCCGAGCGTGTGTGCAGCGCTTCCATCTCGACTGTTGTGTCCAGCTGACACAGTAGAATGAGGATCCCGGTGAATGGGACCCGTTGATCATGTGATCGCTATACGATCCGCATGATCACAATGTAAGCAAAGCTGTTATGAATCACTCTCATATCATTCATAACCGCTCTGCGCCTCTTCCTAGTGAGTTGTGATTGACCCACAGCTGTCACTTGATACATGGGGCCAATCACAGCACCCTGTACCATGTGTCCAGCTCCAGCCAATCAGAGATCACTATCCTGAGCTGTCAAAACTTAACTCATTCATGAGAGCTCACGAATGAGTTAGGTTCATGACAGCAAGCTTTGCATTGCTGGGCAAATTATCTTTAATTCTCCCCCCCCCCATCGGTCCAGGGAGAGAAGAGAGAACACGGCACTGAGTAAAAGTACAACATTTTACACACACACACGTACACACGTTGGATTAGCACATTTAACCCTTTGATCACCCCATTAACCCTTTTGATCACCCAACCAGTGCCATTAGTACAGTGTCAGTATATAGAATTTTCATTGATCACTGCATTTCTGCCACTAGTGGCATCAGATAGCATCAGGGTCAGCTAGCGTTAGATTGTCCATACACTATTGCACTCACGCTATAGGTCTTTGATCACTGCCATTACTAGTATAGTGTTTGTACGGATCAAGATATTAGCACTAGCATTTAGCCCTTCCGCTATTTTTCACTGAAGATTTGTATCAATTGATTGATTGTGGGCCAAAATAATTTATACGCCCAACAATACATGGCCGCCCACCCAAATTCAGCTCTTGTCAGATGGTTTCTGAATTTAAAACTCTTTTAAGCCTAACCTTCAACATGGGCATTACAAAGAAGAATGAATTGCGGTCATATTGATCCACAAAGCCAATTCATTGTATTCTATATTCTCTGCTGTTGCATATACAGTCAGGTCCCTAAATATTGGGACATCGACACAATTCTAACATTTTTGGCTCTATACACCACCACAATGGATTTGAAATGAAACAAACAAGATGTGCTTTAACTGCAGACTGTCGGCTTTAATTTGAGGGTATTTACATCCAAATCAGGTGAACGGTGTAGGAATTACAACAGTTTGCATATGTGCCTCCCACTTGTTAAGGGACCAAAAGTAATGGGACAGAATAATAATCATAAATCAAACTTTCACTTTTTAATACTTGGTTGCAAATCCTTTGCAGTCAATTACAGCCTGAAGTCTGGAACGCATAGACATCACCAGACGCTGGGTTTCATCCCTGGTGATGCTTTGCCAGTGGGAGGCACATATGCAAACTGTTGTAATTCCTACACCCTTCACCTGATTTGGATGTAAATATCCTCAAATTAAAGCTGACAGTCTGCAGTTAAAGCACATCTTGTTCGTTTCATTTCAAATCCATTGTGGTGGTGTATAGAGCCAAAAATGTTAGAATTGTGTCGATGTCCCAATATTTATGGACCTGACTGTATGCCCAACATGGACCAGCAAAAGTACTGGTATGTGAACAAGAAAATGACTGTACCTGCTGTATGCCTTTTAAAATGAACAGTGCTGAAAGAAATCTTGTGGCTTCTTTTACTGAATATGTCCTTCATGGTTATCCATTATGTTCAGTGTTTTTTTTTGAGTTTGTCTACTAGTGGAATAAGTAACTGGTACAGACAACTGCACTGGTACATCAACATGTAGAGTTTGTGTATAAACCTCTGCTCATACACCGCCATATTTCCTATAAAAACAACTTAAAGTATAACTAAAGGCACATTTTTTTTTTTTTTTTATAAAGTGGGAGAGAGATTAGGTCTTTATTGCTGTCCATGCCCCCACTAAGGAGATTCACCCTCTCTGTTTGTCCTATTTACCATTATCATTTTAAAGTGACAGTAAAATAACCCAAATTTTGGGTTGCCCCCAGAAAAGTAATAGAGGGGAAATCTTCCAATGGGGACACTAGTTCTGGTGACCTGAGGGTCCCCAAGGAATTCACTTACTTTGCAGGAATTTCCTCTCTTCCTTTTTGGCTATGGGACAGGTAGTGAAGGGAAATTTCTGCAATGGAACACAGATGGTGAAACAAAATTTGACAGGGGTTATAACCTTTCTTCTATCAAAAAAAAAAAGTTTTTGCCTATATTTAGAATATTTCTTGTTGAGTCAAAGTGCTGCCAAACAGTAATCCAGTAATGGATAAACATTTTTACAGTTCTCTGTGGATGCCAATTATGTAGATGTGGACAAATGTTTTCCATACAATTCATTTGAAACCATGATTCCTATCTCATGAAAAGTGATGAAATGCATTGGACATGTATACTTAATTGCTTATCTTTTCTTTGTCATTGAATAAAGCAAAGAATATATTCTATAAAGACTCTAAAATTGTCTGGATAGATTTGTTGGTAACCTTAGAAATGATTTTAAGTAATTGCATCATAGTGATATTTCACATTTTTGTATTTAGAATCCCACATACTGCATTCAGCCTTGTAATTCATCAGTCAGTCTTTTTCAATGGAGAAAAGTTGTCACTCTGCTGTTTTGGTATCATTGTGTGAACCATACTGTACATGGACCAAGGAAGAGAAAATTATGTGAGGAAAATTTATAGACCAGCATGTCAAAGATAAAGGATATAGGACTGTCCAAACAATTTTAACTTCCAGTGGCTATAGGTGCAAAGATTATGTAACTAAATGCCTGTGGAAGTGTAATCAACCCCAGATTGAACAGAAGAGTGATGTGAATGGTGGACAAAGAGCTGAGAAAAACTTACAAAAATAGCTACAGCTTTGATCACTACCATTCATCTTTTTTTTTTTTTTTTTTTTTTTTTTGAGGTACTCTGGACCCATAGGAAGAAGACCCAGGGGGATGCTACTGTTGAAAGAAAATATAAAAATGCCTGAGTGAGATTTTGCTTAAAAGCATAATAATTCATGTTGCTTTTGGGAGAATGTCCTTTGCACAAATAAGACAAAACTGAACATTTTTGGCAAGTAACCATCAGTTCTATGTTCAGGTGAAAAATAAAAAAACCCCTGTACTGACCTGTGGAAAGATTGCGGAAGCTAGGTTATGTTTTGGGGCTGCTTTGCTACGTCTTGCATGTTGTGCCTTGAATCTATGCAGGACACTGTGCAATCTCAAGACTATCAAGACATTCTGAAATGTTTGCGAAATGTGTTAGAAAGTTCTGTCTTGGTCAAGGGTCTTCCAACAGGTCAATGACCCAAACCTCTAAAAAGCACCCAAAGAATGGTTAGGAACAAAACATTGGACTAATTTGAAGTGGCCTTTCATGTGCCCTAATCTGAATACTATAGAACATCTATGGACAGAGCTTAAACATGCAGACTGCAGAAGGCACGCTACAAATCTGAACTAGTTGGAGCTGTTTGCTAACGAAAAGTGGGTCAAACTAACTGTTGTCAGGTACAGTAGTCTTAATGAGAGCTACAGAAATTGCTTGTTTGCAGTGATTTGCCTCTAAAGTTTGTTCAACAAAATATTAAAAGGGTCATTTTTTTATTATACCAAAAAAATTCAGTTGAATCAAAAGCATAGTATTTTTAACTGTTAGGCTCACACCAGCGTTGTGTGCAGGGGGCAGAGAAGCGTTGGGAAGCGTTTTTTACCGCTTCCAAACGCCTCTGCCAATTCTGCACATTACAGCACATGGTTCTGTTCTAACGGGAGCGTTTGCGTCACGGCAAAACGGACGCCTCTGGTCGAGTCAGGAGGCGTTGAAGCCTCCTATTCTAGTCTATGGTGCTGCTCCGCAAATGCCTGGCTGGCTGTGATTGCGACGCAGTTACGGGGCGTTTGCGGAACGGTAACATCATTCAAACTGCATTATAGGCATTTGTGGGGCGTTTTTAACGCTCAGCAAACACCTAGCAACTTCAGCTAAACCACACATGCGGCGTTTGCGGAGAGTTTGCAAAAAAAACGCTCTGCAGACGCCGAACCAACGCTTGCCAAACGCTATAGGGGCATTTGGCAAGCGTTGGTAAAACAGCCAAGTGTGAACGAGCCCTTAAATAGAGGTGGATTCTTTTTTTTTTTTTTCTTGGAAGTGTACCAACAAATTTGTCAGTGCTTTTGTATGATTTTGCTTTTGTGAAGTACTGTGTGCTTTTCCTGTGATTCATTACATTTTTGAATGACCTTGTACGTATCTTCTGAACATGTCTGATATATGAAGATGCAGCACTGTAGCAATTTTTGCTTTCAACTCCAATCAAAGTGAAACTTTCAGATCAAAAGTACAGAAGCAATAAGTTAGCAAATTCTATTTTATGCTATTTATTGGTTTCAGAGATTTTACAGATTATCTCTTCTGGCATCAACTTTACATTCTTTGTACTTGAACTTAAAACTGACCTTTTGTTGATAGAAATACAGGTTAATACTAGCATCTATCCTCCGCACTGTCTGTAACAAATTTCACAGATCATGTTGCACGGTCCTTAACTTTAAGTTCAGATCACTTCCTGGTCAGTGCTTCTGGCAGTGGTGATAAAATAGTCTTTTCAAGCTGTAAGTCTAAACCAGTTCCTCTTTTGGAGCTGGCAGAGGGGGTAAGTAATGCTTTCTTTGTTATCATACTTTTTTTCTCAATTTTTCCTTTGAATATAAAGTGTGCTGTTTTTATCATATTTTCTATCTAACCGTTCAGCTTCACTAAATCGGCTAGCTTGACTAACGGTGTTGCAATGTAAGCAAAGCTATGGGAAATTTGTACCAAGATGTCAGCAACTTGTACGTACACTTTCTATGTTGATGTAATCAAGGTTACTTTAAAGAAGCGACCACAAGAAGAGGGCATTCTGACCTAGTTCATTACCAAAATAACAATTGATTAGGAATTATTCTACTCTCAAATGCTTGACATGAATTGGCATATAAAAGGATGCAGACGAGACAGCCTCCAGGTCCACGTAACTCAGCCAGTGATGTGGGAAGCCCTCTTCAGAGCCAAAGATGTTTTGGCATTGAAGAGGGCTCAACCCTTGAAACGCGTAATCCTTAGTACGCTATGTGGGCTTCCCACACCTCTGGCTGAGTACCGTGGATCTGGTGGTAGTCTTGTCTGCATCCTTTTATATGCCAACGCATGTCATGCATTTGTGAGTAGAATACTTTTTTGTATTCCTAATAAATTGTTATTTATTATTGCCGCTGTGCCCTCTGTTTCTAGTATATACAAGGATGCCCCACAGTCTTGTGAGGGCAGCAAGATTTTCGGCGCCATATCAACTAGCCAGCCAAGCAGAAAAGTTACATATCTTCAGCAACAAGCCTAAACGCAGGAGGCTATCACTTCTACTTTACAGAAGACCTGAACTAGGGAAGGTGTGCCCAGAAAAGGGAGTTTTAGTAATCGCTATTGTCTATAGTCTTTCAGTCTGTGAGGAGGCAGCCATTTTCATATGCGCGCTGGGCTTTGCTTCATCCTGTCAAAGGGAAATGATTAAGCAGAGAAATCTTTGCTCTGCAGGTCCTCATGTACAGCTTCTTCCAGCACAGTAGAGGCATCACCAAATCTTACTCCAGGTTTTGTGAGTTCTGCCAGAGGAAGCAGTTCCTCTCACTTGGTAAACATACAGATAAGAGGCTGTAGGTAAACTAACATGCCAGGAAATTCCCTGCTATTTTTAGCAATTCAAAAGGTAAAGCTTTCAGGGTACTGCATAGGCATAATTAATGTTATTAGACATTAGTTATAAAGTGGAAGATTTTTTTTTTTTTGTGATATTACTGCCCATTACTTGCAGAAAAATACAAGACATTCTCTGACTGGCAATTTGTGATTGATATTCAGAAGGGCAGCAGTCACTACAAAGATCGCAGCCATCACTGTTGTAGTAGCACAGGATACTGCAGTGATTTACAGTTTCCACATACGCCGACCAGGTATCTTTATATGCTTTCTTACGTTGGGCCAAGGTGACCCAGTGTGGGTATGTAAAATTTATATATAAAACAAATATATAACAATATATATATATATATAAACAATTGTGTTTTTTTTCCCTTTGCTATTTGTATAGTTAGCAGCATTGTGTTTTTTTTTTTTTTTTTTTTTTTTTTTTTACTAACAATTGTTTTCTCCTATTTATTTACTTTAGAAAAAGCAAACATGTGTAAATCTGAACTCAGGCTCACAGTATGTAGTCAGTGGAGGTCTTGATAATACAGTTAACATCTGGGACTTAAAATTAAAACGACTTCATCGAACCTTAAAGGTAACCCCTCCCAAACCATAAATTAAATGACCTGGTGATTTTAATCATAATCTTTATATCGTCAAAGAGTACTTTTTTGATCTTTGTCATTCATTCATTTTCAGGATCACAAAGATGAAGTAACTTGTGTTACATTTAATAGTAGTGACAGCTATATTGCATCTGGCTCCATGAGTGGAGAAATCATACTACATAATGTAACTACAAATTTATCCAGCACACCCTTTGGTCATGGAAGCAGCCAGGTACTAAAAGTGCCTCTTCCTTTTTATATTTTGTTATGCTGTGTATTTCAGTGGAGTTCATTTTCACTTTGTTTGTGTGTTACAGCCCATTCGACATTTGAAATATTCCTCTGTGAAGAAGTTTTTGCTTGGTGCTGTATCTGACACTGGCAGTGTGACCTTGTGGGATGCCCACAGCCAGAATCCATACCATATGTTTGAGGGTGCTCACAAGGCTCCAGCATCTGGCATCTGTTTCTCACCAGTGAATGATCTCCTCCTTGTGACCATTGGACTAGACAAAAGAATTATCTGTTATGATGTGTCCAGCAAAATGTAGGTTCCATATAGATAATTGCTTAAAAGGCTTAACACTCAAAAGATCTGTCAGTGTCTATTTACTGGTGTCACATTTTGCATAACCATGTGTCTTTTTTTTTTTTTTTTTTTGCAGGGAAAATATAGTCTTTTTGCAATTTTTAGATATGCATTAATTTTGACCAACTACAAAAGTTGTAACTTTTTTTTAGTTAACTACTGCTCCTCTTGGACGTGTGCAGTGGCAGCTGTGAGCTTTTTCCAGTTTTTCTCAGCTGGCTCTGAGCATTTATTGTAAAAGTGATCTGGTTAACTGTAAAACCACCCAATCACTTTTGCATGCTGCCCCAATGTTATTCAGACTGTGCTTCCTCATTAGTAGTTGTTTTCTAGTATTTGTAGTTTGTTGTTCATCATTCTCATTTCTAGTCTTCTGATTACCTCATACTGTTTGAAAACAATACAGTGAGGGCTAGGGTTGTACTGAATACCACTAGTGGAAAAGAACAGACACTAGTGGTCAGATTTCCCGATCTTAAAAGGGCAGCACCTTTTTGGTTGGCATTCTGGCATCGCCTTGGTTGTATGAAGACTGGAGTGCTGGTTTCGTTTGTTCATCTTTTGTACTGATACCAGTTTAAGACCGAGTACCAGTACTGATACTTTTTTATCAGGTACTCGTCTACACCAATTACTGGTTACCTCTTTTTCGTGCAGTGTGATTTGAGCCCATACAACATGAATGGGCTCAAATTGCACTGCAAATAATCACACGTGATTTGAACAGGAATGTAGTGCGATTCCCGTCTGAGTCGCATGCAGTTTCCCGCACCGCTCCTGTGTGTTAACCCAGGCTGTAGTCACTATGACTATGCAGGTAACTGATCTACCTGACTACTATACTGACCTACCTGATTCTTACACTGACTCCCAGTATATGCCTCACCGGAGGTGTAGGGGCAGGCAATACTGCGATCTGGAGGGATAATTGCCAGCATTCTTTAGTTTACTTTTCAGCTGTCAGTGGGGGAATCCCGTTTTAGTATTGGTGCATTTGCATGAGTACCGATACTCGTACAAATGCTTACTATCAGCACCAATATCAATATCTGCAACCCCAGTGAAGTCTCCTAAAGTAGTAGTAAACTTCTGTGATGTTTGTGTTTTTTGTATTTTTTTTTGTTTTTGTTTTTTTTACCTACAGGTAAGCTTATAATAAAGCTTGCCTGTAGGTAAAATGGATATCCCCTAAACGTGCAGCAGCCAATGATGTTACTGGCTCATGCGCTCTGAAGGAACAGCATTCCTGTGCCATTCCTTTAGAGCTCTGTGCCGTGCCTGGGACTCCCGCTCATGCAGGAGTGATGTCAGACAGCCAGAGCCCTCTAACCCAGAAGGAAGACTTGGTGAAGATGGAAGCCTCTGCAGCAGTGACTGCGCTTGCCTCTGGAGGGCTTCATCTTGAGGTTAAGTTTTTTTTATAATGTACTAGTATGCAATGCATACTAGCACATTATATTGTCTTGCTGGGGGAAAACCTTTTTTTTTTTTTTTTTTTAGCATTACTACCTTTTTCATCTGGGTTTGAAGCAGAATCATGAAAATATGGTATAGTATGCACTCAAAATGCTCAGGAAAACGAACTATAAACTTTACAATAGTAATTTGCACTATGAGCTCACTGAAGATATGGCATAGTTTTTCTTTTTAAAGTTTAAGATTTAGTGATTTTCTAGTAAGCCTTGAAACACAAAATCTGTTAATGAGATTGTAAAGCAGATGTGGTGTTAGCAGACATCATCTATTACTTGCAGAGTGTAGTTGGTCTTTAAAATGCTTCACGTGCATCCTACGCTGCTTTTGAGCCTATGGGAGATGATGCATACCAAAATGCAATGTCAGAATCTTGATGTCCACTTTAAGGAGTGGGCTCGATGCTTTGGGAAATAGGACTGAAGAATACTTGGGGCCTGTCAGGGCGTTCTTGTATTGATGGAAATGTACAGTTTTAGGTGCACTCTGCTTGTATTTAACATCAGTTTCAGATACTTCTGAGGTCATTAAGAGACCCATTCACAGCAGGGCAGTCTGCTGTTGGTGCATTTATGTTTATTGCATTAATACATCCTATTCATTAGTATAGGTTGCACCGCACCCTAGCACTCTGAAAATCTGACCTGCACTTTGACTACAGTGCACCAAAGTGTATTTTTTTTTTTTGTCAGTGTTTATTAGATTTCAACCTGTTCAGTAAGGCCTTGTAGGTTAATTTTCTGTCACTTATGTACATTCAAAACATACTTATGGTTTTAAAAAGAACATGCTGCTTTAATGGCTGCTATAAACTTGCTGAGTGCTTCCAACATTTATAGATGGCTAGCTTCCTCTGTGTAGGGATAGTTTTGTAAATCTGTTCCAAGGGCAAGATCATTCAGCAAGAACTTTAATGTGCAAGAAGTTTAGTATTATTCATTGCATTTACACATCCAGGTGGTTCACATGCCTAGGGAGAAAATAAAATGTATTTTCAATAAGTACAGTTTTGTTACCTGAAAGGAAAATTTGTAACTTATATTTCTACTTGCTGTTCCATGTTTTTGATGTTTGATCTTCACATACACACTTGCATAGCAGAAAGTATTCAGATTTTTTGAGAAGGCTCTACTGTGCTACGCATTGGTGAAGTTTACAGCTTTCCAATTCATTTTTTTCTCTCCTCAACATTACCATTACCTTCTAGGTTATATTTCCTCCTCGTATATAGATTTGTGAATACTGCCTATAGTGATTATCTGTAAAAAAAAAAAAAAAAAAAAAGGCTGCAATAATTTCAAGAAAAAGAGTAGTCAAATTAACCTTTTCACTGCCCGGCCCTACACGCCACTTTTAATCTGTGTTGGGTAGACCTGTTCTGCAATATTTAACTTTCTTATTTCAAACTTAGTTTTCAGAGTTTGCAATGGGCCCCCAAACCATGCATATTCTGAAGGCACACCGGTAGAATAAAAAGATGGTGCTACTAATTTTGATAGTTGCACAAATGTTTATTACGCTGCTATTTTCAATAAAAAAATGCTCTAAATTAATTTCTAATGCACACGAACACAAAACTAACAAAATTCTTACAAAATCTAAAAAGAAAAACCCAGAGTAATAAATTATTTGTAATTTTTTTTTTTTTTTATAATTGTGTCCGCATTCTGATGCTCCTTTTTAAAGAGGATGTTGTGGGGGAGATCAGTTGCACAAATCGAGGGAACCTGTCAGAGCCAGGAGTGAATTTAAGTATTTCTCATTATCTATGCCCCTACCTACATTTAACAAGACGATTTACTCTTGAAAGGAGGGGAGAGCTGCAGTGATTGCGTTTGTCACATTCCTGGAGATCAGCTTTAAAAAGTGCAGATTTTTGCAGTGACCAGAGAGGACTCATGGTTGTGTATGTTGGTTGCAAGTTTCCCTTCCAACTTGAATGTTCTGAATATGATTTTTTTTTTTTGTATAGTTCATTTTAACAGCAGGAAGACTAACCTTTTATTGCTTAAACATACCTTACTTACTGAAAGCAATGTACAAACCTGTGAAAGAAGAGTATAACAAACATGATAACCGAGCATGTGTAATGTCTCTCTCATTTCAATGTATGATTATTTTTAACTTTGTTCTCTTACATTTAGCCTTCTTCAAACAGTGGTAGTGGAATCACCTTTGACTGCTGTAGACTTTATGCCAGATGGCGCTACACTGGCAGTTGGCTCTTCTCGTGGGAAAATTTACCTTTACGACTTAAGAATGTTAAACTCTCCAATTAAAACAGTTGGTGCTCATAAGACATCTGTGCAATGCATTCAGTTTTCAACACAGCAACATTCATAAGGTATGTTATGAATAGAGCAACTTGTTTAGTGGGTATTTGACTCCATTTATTTACTATATATCGAAAATTTATATAGATCTCTAAACGTGCTTCTCTTCCAGCTTGTACAAGATTGTATTCAAACACAAAAAGGGCCAGAACTCCAATTTGTTAAATAATTGATTTATTAAGGAGCCATTGCGATACCTTACACACCAGGAAGACTAATTTATCTGTAGCTTTCAAGTTGTCCCCTCAGCCCCCTTTAAACCCTTTCATGAGCTCGATCTCATTCCAGCGCTCTCTTCATCTGCAGCAGCTCTTCTCCATTTTCTTTCTCTCTCTCTCTCTCTCCTCATGGGAGACTTGGCAGCAGAGACATTGCCTCCTGCTGCTGTCAGTCAAATTCTGTGAGGAGGTAGTAGGGAGCGGGGCCAAGCCTTGCTGTGTGTGTCAGTAGATGCACACAACCTGGCTCAGATCTAGCCTGCATGAGTGTGTGCCTCTATAGTAAGCAGCTTGCTATGGGGGCATTTGGAAGGGAGGAGGCGAGAGTCCTAGTGTGGGACCCCAGAAGAGGAGGTTCGGGGACACTATGAAAAACCATTGCACCAGAGCAGGTACAGTGGGTATAGAAAATAATCGCCTTCACTTTTAAAATAAAATGATCACATTTTGTTGCTTTGCAGCCTTAAATGAAGACATAGTTTTTGTTTTATCCAACTGTAGTTACTCAACTTATAACATCCATGTGAAAAATATAGCACCAAGGTGTAAAAAAAAAAAAAAATACAGTCACTGAGTTGGAAAAAAGGATCACTCCCCCTCCTAAAAATGAACTCCGGTGTAGCTAAAAACCTTCTCAATGACACACAAAGCCATTTGATTTTAAGTGTGATAATCTGGGGTCATTTTGATTAGATCAGCATGAAAAGAGCTTTCCTGGAGTATTTTAGTCCCTGGTAGTGAAACTGAAGCAAACGATCAACTATGGGTGGCAAGAAACTGTCAAAAGATCTCCGGGATAAAGTTGTGGACATGTACAAGTCAGAAGGTGGATGCAAAAACAATTTCAAAGGCTTTATCAATGCCTAGAATCACCGTGAAGTCTGTTAAGAAGTGGAAGGTATTTGGTACAACACAGACCCTCCCTGGATAAGAACATTGCTCCAAACTGGATGAAAGCGTCAGGAGGAAACTGATCAGGCTACGAAAAGGCCTACAGGAACTCTGAAGCAGTTGCAGAAATTTATGACAAGAGTGGTCATTGTGTACATTTGATGACAGTATCACACATTCTCCACAAATGTGGCTTGTATGGGAGGGTTGCAAGAAAAGTCACTCGTCAAGATAGGCCACATGCAGTCATGAGTGAGCTTTGCCAAATTGAACCCTGAAAATTCTGAGGTCACATGGAAAAAGGTGTTCTGGTCAGATGAGACTAAAATTTAATTATTTGGCCTCAACATGAAACGATATGTCTGGTAGAAATCCAATACAGCTCACCATCCAAATAACACCATTCCTGCAGTAAAGCATGGCGGTGGTAATATCTTGTTATGGAGGTGTTTCTCTGTAGCAGGGACTGGAGTACTTGTCCGGATAGAAGGAAAAATGAATAGGGCAAAATACCATCAAATTCTTGAGGAAAATCTGCTCTCTGCCAGGTGACTGTTTTTGAATTTTAATTTTTTTCTGACATGTTGGTATTATATCTTTCCCTTGGATGTAAATACAGCTGGATAAAACAAAAACTGTGTCTGTCTTAATTTCAGGCTGCAACGCAACAGCATGCAATTATTTTAAAGGTTTGTGATTCTTTTCTATACCCACTGTCAATGACGTTATTTAACCGCTTGCTGACCGCACTATAGCCGAATGACTTCTACAGCGCGGTCATTCAGTTCTGGGAGGGCGTCTAATGATGTCTTATTAGAACCGTATGCCTACTGCGGCATGTACCTGGCGATCTCTGTGATCGATGTGTTCTTCGGACACCGCTGATTAAATCACGGTAAAGGGCCAATCACAGCGGCCATTTACATCATGATCAGCTGTGATTATGTGGTAAACACACTTGCTGGTTATTGACAGGACTTTCCTCATGCTGTCACAGCATGAGGAAAGTGCTTCTGATAACCTGCAAGTGTGAAAGGAGACATCTACACTAATTATCAGTGCCCTTATTATCAGTGGAAGCCCAACAGTGCCCTTCAGTGCTGCCTGTTAAATGTCTAACCGTTTCCATTAGTGCATATCCTTGCCGCTTATCAGTGCCCACCAATGCTGCCCCATCAGTGCCCATCAGTGTAGCCTCATCAGCGCACATCAGTGAAGAAGAAAAATTGCCTGTTTGTGAAATTTTATAACGTTTTTTTCTCTTCAAAATTTTTGGTCTTTTTTTGTTTGTTTAGCAAAAAAATAAAACAACCAGTGGTGATTAAATACCACCAAAAGAAAGCTCTATTTGTGTGGAAAAAAACAATGTATACAGTGTTGCATGACTGCACAATTGTCATTCAGTGTGACAGCGCTGAACATTGGCTTGGGCAGGAAGGGAGTAAAAGTGCCTGGGTAGGCAAGTGGTTAAAAAATTAAAATACCCTTTACAATCTGTTTAATCTAAACTAAACCTCCACTTGAAGGAGCAGGGTTTAACAGAGTTAATTAATGATGGTGAAGCACTTTTATTTATCCCTTGTAAGCATTATAAGCACTTTAGGGTCCATGCAAACTGGACGCAGAAGATATGACAGAATCTCTGGCAGAAAAAATGCTTGTATTGCACAACAGTTTGAGAGTTTGTGAGCATTTGCTTTTTATAAGCATTTTTTTTCCAAAACCTCTGCTCATTTTTCAATGTACACTTGAAAAATCAGAGCGCTCCTAAATGTTGTGTTTATGCACATTTGAGCATCAAGTGGTTTTTTTTTTTTTTTTTTTTTTTCTGCCTCTAAACGGTTCTCTGCAAATATGCCTGTAAACGCCCTAATGTGCATGCACACATAGGCTAACATAGAGCTGCTTTGTACAGGCTGAAGAAAAAAAAAGCAAACCGCTCGTAGAAGCAGCGTGTTTTTTTTTATTTATTTTTTTATACCCAGTGTGCATGGACCCCCAGAGGTTTATCCAGTGTGCCCTGCATATTTCTTGTTTGCTCCCTTCTCCCAAAGCTTGAAAGTCCATGTCGGTTCAGCAGTGAGCTACTAATAAACAACATTCAGCCAATTTACCCTCTGCCAATCATGAGGGATGTGGGCTTTTCTGTAGTTATAACTAGTTGTATACAGTGCATCCAGAAAGTATTCACAGCACTTTTGCCACATTTTATGTTAAAGCCTTATTCCAAAATGGGTTAAATTTATTTTTTTCCTCAACATTCTACAAACAATACCCCATAATGACAACGTGAAAGAAGTTAGTTTTGAAATCTTTGCAATTAAAAATAAAAAACGAAAAAAAAAAAACACGTACATAAGTATTCACAGCCTTTGCTCAATACTTTGTTGAAGCACCTTTAGCACCAATTACAGCCTCAAGTCATTTTGAGTATGATGCTACAAGCTTTGCACACCTATTTTTGGGCAGATTCTCCCATTCTTCTTTGCAATACCTCTCAAGCTCCATCAGGTTGGATGGGGAGAGTCGGTGCACAGCCATTTTCAGATCTCTCCAGAGATGTTCAATTGAGTTCAAGTCTGGGCTCTGGCTGGGCCACTCTAGGACATTCACAGAGGTAGCCTGTAGCCACTTGTTATGTGGCTGTGTGCTTAGTCGTTGTCCTGTTGAAAGATGAACCGTTGTCCCAGTTTAAGATCCAGAGCACTCTGGAACAGGTTTTCATCAAGGATGTCTCTTTACATTGCTGCATTCATCTTTCCTTCGGTCAGGACTAGTTTCCCAGTTCCTGCTGCTGAAAAACATCCCCACAGCATAATGCTGCCACCACCATGCTTCACTGTTGGGATGGTATTGGACAGGTGGTGAGCGGTGCCTGGTTTCCTCCACACAAGATGCTTGGCACTCAGGCCAAAGAATTCAATCTTTGTTTCATCAGACCAGAGAGTGTTGTTTCTCATGGTCTACGAATCCCTCGGGTGTCTTTTTGTCAAATTCCAGGCTAGCTCCCATTTGCCTTTTACTGTGGAGGGGCTTCTGTCTGGCCACTCTACCATACAGGCCTGATTGGGGGAGTGCTGCAGAAATGGTGGTTCTTCTGGAAGGTTCTCTCTCCACAGAGAAATGCTGGAGCTCTTTCAGAGTGACCATCAGGTGCTTGGTTACCTCCCTGGCTAAGGCCCTTCTCCCTCGATCGCTCCTTTTGGCCAGGCGGCCCACTCTAGGAAGATTCCTGGTGGTTCCAAACTTCTTCCATTTACGTATGTTGAAGGCCACTGTGTTCATTGGGACCTTCAATGCTGCAGAAGTTTTTCTGTACCCTTCCCCAGATCTGTGTCTTCACACATTTCCTTGGACTTCATGGCTTGGTTTGTGCTTTGACATGCGTTGTTAACTGGGGTACAGGGCGATCTGTCCTAATATTGTGTGGGCTTTGTCTCAGACTGTGTAGACATGTTTAGGAGATGGGTGGGGGTTGTTGATTGTTTAAGGTTATGTGGCTGCATCCCATTGTTCTATTGTTTTGTCTGGCTTGGGAGCAAACTACTATGGGATTTATGTGTTTGTGTGTTAGCTTAGTGGGGGGGGGTCTCCAGCAGACCTCCCTCCTGATGGGACTGTCTGCTGGCGAGAAGTTTGAATACCTGTGTGTCTCTGGTTACTAAATGTAGATTGCCCCGCCCTGTGTCATTATGCAGGGAGGGGGGATTGTCCCCTGAGTGTATATATCTTGTATCTGTGTTCAAATAATGTAGTCTACCTTTTGGTTTACTTCAAATCTGGTGTTGTCTGGATCTTGAGGTAACAATAGCCAGATTCACTGGTCTCGTGTTCCAGAGCCAGAGAAGCAGCTTCTTGACGGAGATACTCAGTCATGGGTGTCTGGGTTCTGTTACAAGCTT